TAGAACCCAGCTTGAAAAACCCATGCGTGGCCCAGGCTTCCTCCTCCAGATGAGACTGCATCGTATCGACTGAAGTGCTGACTGCATCAGGATCAACCCCAGCCAGAACTGTTGAGGGGACTGTCCTGGTCTCCACACTTGTGCCTTCTCCTGGGTGTTTAATAAATGTTTGAGGGGTGAAAGACTGAATGAATGTGAATGACTGCACTTGTGTTTCCTCGTCCCTTCCTTGGCCCTCTATGCAACTGTACTTGCTGCCCCTGTCCCCAAGGGAAGCAAAGAGTTCAGTCACCACATGGGCCAAAATTTTACAACTGCTCCCTGAGGCCTGATGTGAAATGCAAACTTGTCTGGTCTTCAGGGTTCTGCACTAGTCCCAGGCCTGTACCTAAACCCTCCCCACACAAAAACTACCGTTTGCTTTTCTTTGTCAACAGTCACTCGTGGCCATGAGATTCCTCGCACTTGCCAGTCCTTTTCCTTGGAATGTCCTTCCCTGCTCTTGACATTAATATGTAGATCCTCAGAACCAGAAGGGACCTGGGGGATCATTGTCAAACTCCTACCTAGTGCTGGAAACCTCTTTGAACATCCCTGATCCACCGCCAACCAAGCCCTGCTTTGAAAACAATCCTTCATCTGACTTCTAAAGTTATTACAAAATTTACAGAATAATTATTTAATAATTTAATATTATTTAGTATTTATATAATAATTATTATTTTGAAGTTATTACTTTTAAAGTTATTGGCTTTTAAACTTATGTCCTCTAAGAAGCCAGAAGGGACCTGGGGGATCATTGTCAAACTCCTACCTAGTGCTGGAAACCTCTTTGAACAACCCTGATCCACCGCCAACCAAGCCCTGCTTTGAAAACAATCCTTCATCTGACTTCTAAAGTTATTACAAAATTTATAGAATAATTATTTAATAATTTAATATTATTTAATATTTATATAATAATTATTATTTTGAAGTGATTACTTTTAAAGTTATTGGCTTTTAAACTTATGTCCTCTAAGAAGCCTTCTCTCACTAGTTAGTAAGTGCATTCACCCACTCATTTATTGATCCACTCACTCATCTTTGTTTGTTGGACATACTGAGTGCCTGTTACATGCCAGGACATGTGCTATGCTCCAGAGGACGTGAGGGAAGTAAGCCATGGTCCCCACTCACTGCTCTTCAGAATCTAGTAGACTGGATCTGCTGAGGAACACGTGTGGGAGTACATACTGAGTGCCTGTTACATGCCAGGACATGTGCTATGCTCCAGAGGACGTGAGGGAAGTGAGCCATGGTCCCCACTCACTGCTCTTCAGAATCTAGTAGACTGGATCTGCTGAGGAACACGTGTGGGAGTAATGGTACTATGATTCAGTAAGATGCAATCAGGGTGTATACCAAACGCAATGCTGGGACAGAAAAGCAAATAAATAATGATTCCTCTCAGGGCGACGAGGGCCTGGCTTGGGAAGACTTCATAGAGGAAGCATTGTATAAAGCTAAGCTAAGGAAGAGTCTGGAATATTCAGTTCAACAAGGTGGAATGCGTGTGCATTGGGGGCTGGGAATCTCAAGCAAAGATAATTCTTTCATATCACATGACTTCAGGATACTGAATAATTTGCACTCACTGAAAGGGCACTTTTATACATTGCCTGTGGCAGGTGGATTGGTCTAATCCTTTCAGAAAGCATACAATGACTAATCCTACTAATCACACCTGTGTGAATCTATCTTGATGAAATAATATTAAATGTGGAAAAGATTATATGCACCAAGATAGTGCATAATACAGCATTAAAATAAGGGGAGAATTGAAAAATAAGCCTCTGTACCCTTCATTGGAAGATAGGTAAATCAACTATGGGATATTTATTAGAGTGATTACTACACAGCTACTCATTTTGAATATTCTGTGCCAACTTGGATATATTTATTCACGTAATACTAAATGAAAAAAGAAAACCAAATGTGTGATCATAATCACTTTATTTTTAAAATCATACACATAATGATCTCAAATGGCTAGAAGAGAGGAGCTTAAATGTTCTCATCACAAACGATAAATTTTTGTGATGATAAATTTGCCAACACCCTGATTTGATCACTACACATTGTACACAAATATTGAAATATAACTCTGTACCCCATAAATATGTACGATCAACGTGTTTCAATTAAAAATAATAATAATAATAAAAGAGAATCCCATGAGATCACCTACAGACATTTTGGAAATTGTAAATGCTGTATATGTATTCCAAGCTATTGCATATTGTTGTTTCTCTGTTTCATGCATTATCCTTCATGGTACCAAGTTTCTGAGTATCTATCTCTCTCCTTTTCTTAAGCCTCTAGATGTTCCAACTAATATCTTCTTCTTGGTCTTTAAAAAAAATAATGGATACATGAGTACGTCAGTGACTAGCTCATAGGAATTCAGAGCTGTCTTCCTAGAGGTAATAGAGCGAGATATAGGACTGCTGCGGGAGTCCAGCCCCTGTTTACATCTAATCCCTAGGCCTGCCCTGGAGGCTGCTTTCCCTAATTCACTCCTAGCCCTGGGCTGGAGATGGACTGTGCTCCCTGAAAGCAACTGGGTGTGTGAAGCACCTGGCAGCAGGCAAGAGATCTGGCTCCTGCGTGCAGACTTACTTCAACACTGCTGCCACATTTCTGTCTTCACTCCACCACTCATTCACTCACAGTTATTTACTGAATAAAATTTGTACTATTACGAAAAAAAATCATATATATAACAAAACAGTCTAAGAAATAGCACCAAAATACTAAAGAATGTTGAGCTTAAATGAGGGAACTTTTGGGAGACATGTTCTCCTCTTACTCTATTTTCAAACTTTCTGTTTTATTCACTTATAACCCGGAAATAGTTGAGTTTTTTGTTTTTGTTCTGGATTTTTACTCTACAGTGTGAATTTCACCCTCTATAATCTTGGTGAATTTCTTCCAGAAGTCACCAAGTCGTCTAACTCTTTCCTTTTTTTCCCCTCTTCTCACTACTTTGTAAGCACGCGAGTTTGAACCCATGGTGGATGTATGTTCAATGACACAGCAGCTGACAAAGGACAGCATATTTCCCTGTGCTCTGCCTTCCTAGGGACTCAAGACCATTGAGAGAAACGACACCTGACACTCGACACAGCTTCTATAAGAACCAGACATTTTTCTAAGCACTTCGCAGATATTAATGAATTACTCACATCATTCCATGATGTAGATATTATCCTTTTTTTTTTTTTAATGAATTGAGACACACAAAGGTTTGCCGTTGACATGAGGATGTCCAGCTAGTCAGTCACAGAGCCAGGATTTGAATCCAGAGAGTATGGCTCTAGGGTCTCTGCTCTTACTCACTCAAAAGGAAGCTTTGAAACAGCCAGCTGGCTGGACAGACAGGCAGGCAGGCAAAACCTACACGGATATTTGGTGGTGGGGTGGGGGACTGGGGTTGGAGCATGGACGTAGAGACAGAGCTCAAGGATTCCTAACGTAAGCCCCTTCCCAGATGGAAGCCTCAATCTCTGGAAGCAATTCCATTCTTTCTGAGTGAGAGGATGGCAGATGTGGAATGGCATCTGAAATAGGAGCGATCGCCTCTGTGTAAATAGCTGCTTTCGCATCAGAGAGGGATTAGAGGTGGCACTTAGCTGAACATGAAAAGCATAAGGGAGCTGTGTGTTTCAGTAAACTGGATCCTTATGTTTTCTTTGCCTATTGTTTCTGAAGCAGACTAATGACGGCTTCTTCTCTGGTGAGGTGATTTAGATTACAAAGCACAGGCTTTGCCTAGAATTTTAGACACCCCAGGGCTAGAACAGGCCTTTTATGGTCATGTAATCTAGCCCCTGGCCATCCCTCCACCCCTAGCACACACGCACACACACACACACACACACACCTTCTTATCACAGAAAAGGAAAAATATCCATTAGGAATTATGAGTGAGGTACCTGCTGCAAAGAGAGCCATCGGTGGCCCCATATTAAATGCGATTAACCAAGGGGAGCAGAAGCCATTGTACCAGCACAATGATAGCTGCGATGACATTCAGTATTGAATTGAATTAAGTATCTAGTGACTCTTTTGTTGGGTCTGATTGATGTTTCTCTGTAATCTCTAGACTAAGCAAATGTTTAGATGCCGTATCTTGGCTCTTGATCTTTGGTATTCTATGCTTTTAATTCATTAGCTCCAAGTCTTAGAAAGAGACTTCTCAAACATCCATCCCAAAATAAGATTAGGATTATTCTCAAGTAGCCAAAAGCTCAAAGGCAGCTGGTCTACGTTGGGACACTTCTGACAATGAAGAACTACAGGCTTCCAAGCCCCATCTGAAATGACAGTGCTCTGTCAGCCTGCACTGGCAAGCACTCCTGCCTTCAGGTCTTATCTAAAACAATCAGAGGCTCTGCAACTAGAAATGTACTCCTCACCCCCTACACAAAGCATCTCCACCTTTTTGGTTTTTGTTGGGCATCTTATCCAGCCCTACCTGATCAGAGTGGGGGACTCTCCTATATTCCCTGTGTCAAAGGTGTATACATCCTTGACCCAAGTGTCATAGGACTACTTTACTTTTCTTTCATGGAAACTGTACTCTTAAATTTCAGATTTCAGTATTTTCTTCTTAGCTTTTTTAATGATAAAAACCAGGGGAAGAAACCTGAGAGACCAAACTTTTCATTTTATAGACAAGGAGAGGAGGCTTAAGGAGAAGAGGGAATCATCCTGGTATCACCCACCAGATTGGTGACGGAGCAGCTGCTGGTTCTTATTCCAAGGTCCTTTCTGCCCCACCCTCCTCAACTTTCATGTGGCACTGAAGGGGACATTCAGTAGCCGTGAAGCTGTTGAAGGAGGAGAAGCTGTCCCAGTCATTTTCCCTAGCCACTGCCCTTCCCCTGCTCCCCTTCCTCCAACAGGCCTCTTGTCTGAACCCGCCCCCAGTGGGAAGGAGGACGCTGGTCTCTTACTCATTTCCATGTACTCTGGAGTCAGCCCAGTGTACGGTTCCAAGCTGTAATCTAGGTCCCACTGCTCTGGATGTTTTGAATGGGCAGAGTCCGTTTCTCCAGGTTCTGTCTCATCTTTCAGCTTCCGAAATAGTTTCTTTAGCTTCCTGGAAAAGAAATGGACCAGTCAACTAGAGCCCCTGGAGAGCAGGGTTAGTTATACACAGAGAAAGAAGGAAAAAAACTCAGTTTTGACACTAAAGTCATCTCTGATTCAAGGACAGATAGAGAGACACTAAGGAGACGACTTTTCTCCAGAAGACAGCCTGAGGAGATCCTTCATCAAGATAAGGAAAGACTCCCCGACAAAGGATCATGTTTCTTCAAATCCAAAGAAACTTTAAATACGTCCTTCTGTTTGATAAGAGAGTTGGCCCTTCCCGCCAAATGCTGAGACAGAGCCAGTTCTACTGTCCAATGTGTGATCTATCCGTCCTCTTCAGTGAGAACAGACGGGTGTCCAGAAAGTAGCAGAAGGATGCTCTCCTCCAGGTCAAACGTGTTTTGGGTTTTAGTAACACCAAATAGCATCACCTTTCCATTAAGGCCAAGCTAAACATTGCCCACCACTACTAGAGAATGAATTGTGTTCCCCCAAAATTCATATGTTGAAACTTCAGCCCCCAATGTGACTGCATTTGGAGGTAGGGCATTTAGGAGATGATTAAGATTAAATGGGGTCATATGGTGAGATCCTAATCCAATAGGATCAGTGGCTGTATAAAAAGAGGAAAAGAGAGAAACCAATTTCTCTTTCTCTCAACCTTGCAAGGACACAGAGAAAAGACATCCAACTGTAAGCCAGGAAGAAAGCCCTCACCAAAACTCAACCCTGCTGGACCTTGATCTTAGACTTTTCAGCCTCCAAAACTATGAGAAAATAAATTTCTGTTGGTTAAGCCACCCAATCTACGGTATTTTGTTATGTCTGCCTGAGCAGACTAAGACAGCTACATTCAGGATTTTTTTGGGTTTAGAATCATAACAAGATAATAATAGCCCAACCTCTCAAGGTTGGTATGAGGATTAAGTAAAACAATGTTTATATAGTCCTTAGCCCAATATCTGGACATAGTGAACATTAAATAGACAATAGCTATTATTATTTTTAATATTAAATGCTAAAATATGCCTGAGGGTATAATCTTTTCATACTTCCCATTGATGCACAATGTATAGAGAATGAAAATAGGTGACAGGGCAAGGTGCCAATTCTCCTAATAGATTTAAGAGAAAGTTTCCCAGAAATAGTGGGAAGAACTAACTAAAAGCAGAACAGTCAGAGTCATAGACATGAAGGGTTTAAAGGGATTTTGAAGTCCATGCTTCATCCAGATGCATGAATTTCTCCCACTCCCAAACATTCCTCACCCAAGACCATCCAATTCCTCTGTAGAAACTTCCAGAGGAGCACTCCTGATATGATTAGGCCTCTCATTCTATTGTAAGAAAGTGCTTTTGACAGTCAGTGGAAATCTCAGGGCTCAAAATAATGTTCTGATCAGTAAGTGTCTTGTCCAATATCATTTTCCATCAAGAGGATATAATATAGCATAGTGGACAAAAGTTTAATCTTTGGTGTCAAAAAATGGTTGTGTAGAACCAAGTCTCACAACTCACCAGCCATATTCTCCTGGATAACTTATTAAAACTCTATAAGCTTTAGTTGCCTTACCTATAAAATGAAGAAATAAATATTAACTTGACCAGAGAGTCAGTTAAAGGAGATAATCTATGTAACGTGCTTAACTTACGGTTTAGTACATGCTAAGAGCTCAATAAATGTATTCACTGTCCTTATCATCATCATCATCATCATCCTTATCACAGAGGATTTAAAAGAAGAGTTGAGACCCATTACGAGCAACAGTAAAAATATTTTCACAACAAAATAGCAAGCAATAATTCTTTCATAATATCAAATTGAGAAAAACTAGATGGAGCCTAATGAATCTGAAGCCAGATAGTGTAGATTTGCTGAGGCACTGCCAGTGAATCAGAACAGAAGGAGAGGATGAAGGTAAAACAGGAGAGAGAGACAGAGGGAAAGAAGGCAGGACAGACTGAGGTAGGAAGGAGAGATACAACCAGAACTCAAATTGAAACTTTTCCTCCAGGTACCAGTAATCAGAAAACTTGGCCAAATCTTTAGTAAAGAACAATTACTGGTTTTAATTGTACTGGAAAATTGAACACAAGCATATATCCCTATCCACTTATGAAATGCCACAAAAATAACAGTAAATGAACAAAAAATGTATTGAACCACATGTTAATGAAAATAGTCATGAATACAGTAGTGTGTGAGGGGTATTAATAAATATCTTGGAATATGGACACTGTACAAAGAAGTTAACAAAGTTGTGATGGATGAATACTGAGTGTCTACAGTGGGAGATGGCAGAGAAAAGCAAGCCAACCTATGCTACAAAATCTCATAAAGGCTCAGGAACTGGAGGCACCAGGTATCACAAAAGCAGGGGTAGTGATTGGTCAAAGCTTTGCTTAAGGAACAGTAGATCCTAATGTCTCCGGATTCATGTTGCCCAGATGACTAGTACTTCCCAATACCAGCAGGAGCAAGAAGTTTACTATGAAGAGAAAATGACCCAGGTAAACTCTAGATCTGAAATAAATCCAATGAAATGATAGGAAAATAAAAATTGGTAAACTCTCTAAGGAAAGAAATAGGCCAAAAGAAAAAGAATGAACAATAGGAGGGAAAAAATATTTTAAAAAGTAATCAACCTAGGAATTCCAACATCTAATAAGAAAGGGAAGACAGAGAAGATGTCAGGAAAGAGTATATAAAATAAATATAAGAAAATGTCAAAGAGGTGAAGGACATGCATTTTCTGATTGGAAGAACCCACTCAATATAATGATGAAAAAAGACCTCCAGCAAAGCAAATAATCATTGGATTTCAGAACTCTAGGGAATATAAAAGGAGTTTTAAAGCTTCCAGGTCCAGAGGGACAAACATTGACCCTCTACAAATTATTAGGAATCAAAAATATATTACCAAGAATGAACCAAGAGGACATAGAAAACATGAACAGACCAATAACATTCAACAAGATTGAAGCAGTAACCAGCAATTTCCCAACAAAGAAAAAAACCAGGACTGGATGACTTTACAGCTGAATTCTACTAAACCTTCAAAGAGGAATTAATACCAATTCTCTTCAAACTATTTCAAAAAATTGAAACAGAAGCTATTCTCCCAAACTCATTCTATGAGGCTAGCATCACCCTGACATTAAAACCAGACAATGATACAAGAGAAGAAAACTGTTGGCCAATATCTTTGATGAACATAGACACAAAAATCCTCAATAAAATATTAGCAAAAAGAATACAGCAACACATCAAAAAAATTATACACTATGATCAACTGGGATTCATTCCAGGGATGCAAGGTTGGTTCAACATATGCAAGTCAATAAATGTGATACACCACATCAACAAAATCAAAGACAAAAACTGTGATTTTCTCAACAGACACAGAAAAAGCATTTGACAAAATTCTAAATCCCTTCATGATAATGACTCTCACAAATTAGATATAGAAGGAAAATATCTTGGGCTGGCCAGTTAGCTCAGTTGGTTAGAGTGCAGTGTTATAACATCAAGGTCATAGGTTCATATGCCAGCCAGCTGCCAAAAAAAAAAAAGAGAGAGAGAGAAATATCTCAACACAATGAAAACCATATATGACAAACCCACTGCCAATATCATCATGAATGGGGAAAAGCTTTCAGCTTTTAAGAACAGGAATGAGACAAGGATGCCCACTCTCACCACTCCTGTTTAACATAGCATTGGAAGTACCAGCTGGAGCAAGCAGGCAAGAGAAAGAAATAAAGGGCATCCAGATTGGAAAAGATGAAGTCAAACTGTCCCTGTTTGTAGAAGACATAAATCCTATATATACAAAAACCCAAAGACTCAAAAAAACCTCTTAGAGCTGATAAAGGATTTCAGCAAAGTTGCCGGATACAAAATCAACACATCAGTAGTGTTTTAATACTCCAACAACAAACTAGCAGAAAAAGGAATCAAGAAGACAAGACCATTTGCAATAGTCATCAAAAGTTAAAATACCTAGGAATCAATTTAACCAAGGAGGTGAAACATCTCTACATTGAGAACTATAAATCACTGCTGAAAGAAATTAAAGAGGACACAAAAGATAGAAAGATATTCCATGCTCTTAGACTGGAAGAATTAACATTGTGAAAATGTCCATACTACCCAAAGCAATCTACAAATTCAATGCAATCCCCATCAAAATACAAATGACATTCTTCACAGAAATAGAAAAAAACAATCCTAATATTCATATGGAACCAAAAAAGACCCCAAATAGCCACAGCAATCCTGAGCAAAAAAAATAAAGCCAGAAGTATTACAATACCTGACTTCAAATTATACCACAAAGCTATAGTAACCAAAACAGCATGATATTGGCATAAAAACATACACTTGGACCAATGAAATAGAAGAGAGAACCCAGAAATCAATCCACATACAATTAACTAATCTTTGACAAACACACCAAGAACGTACATTGGGGGAAAGACTGCCTCTTCAATAAAAAAAGCTGAGAAAACTGGACATCCATAAGTAGAAGAATGAAACTAGATCTGTACCTCTCTGCAAAAGCATAAGCAACAAAAGAAAAAATAAACAAATGGGATTATAACAAACCATAAAGCTTCTGCACAGCAAAAGAAACAATTAACAGAGTGAAAAGACAACCTACAGAATGGGAGAAAATATTTGTAAACTATGCATACAAGGGATTAATATCCGGAATACACAAGGAACTCAATCAACTTCATAGCAAAAAAAAAAAACAAGTAACCCCATTAAAAAATGGGGAAAGGAGCTGAATAGGCATTTCTCAAAGGATGATATACAAATAGTTAACAGACAGATGAAAAAATGCTCAACATCACTAACCATCAGAGAAATGTAAATCAAAACCACATTGAGATATCATCTCATCCTGGTTAGACTGGTGATCATCAAAAAGACAGAGAATAACAAATGCTGGTGAGGATGTGAAGAAAGGGGAAACCCTCCTACACTGTTGGTGGGACT